GATTGTAGGTAAACTCATAGGCTCTCAATCAACCCTTATAGCAATGACTAACAATCTCTAAATTATTAAAATTAATCAAATTATTATTCTAATTTTCTGTTCTTTATCTTTTTTGACTTAATTAACCTAACACAAGGAATCAAGGTAGGATTTATACCATCAAAGATTAAAATCCTTAGAATTTAATAAAACCAAATTTTACTTATATAAATCCTAATCTAACATACTCAAGTATCATAAAATAAGAAAAATTCAATAATAAAATTTTGAAGCATAAATGAGAGCTCATACCATTTTTTTTCTTAATTTTTGATTTTTTGGAGTATTTTTGTGCATATAACTAATTTTGTTTGTAAATTGGCATTTCTAATATTTCTTTGGAATACTCCACCTACCATTTTTAGGTTGTTATAACATTATGCTTCTTTTGCTTGTCAATCTACTATTTTATGTATACATAATTGTTTATAAAATTTCTCTTATTTTCATAACTTGCCAAAAAAATTGTATTGACATTGGCCGTCCAAATTTTAAAAAAAAATCTCTTGGACTTAGGATGTTTGTAAATATGCCTTGTACATAATGTATATTGATAGATATCATTCTTCTACCTATAGCTCAACTTATTATTAGACTAAGAAGTAGTTGGAATAGATAAAATCTCCCTAGATATAATAGTCATAGCATAGCATTAATTGAACTAAGACCCCCACATACAAATGTGGTTGATTCGGACCATGGATTTTTATTTATTTATTTATTTTTTTCTTTTCTAATTATCCCAACTATATCTAATGATATTTGAGACTAAAAACATGGCTTTAACATTCAAAATCATAGTGAGTATGTAAAAAATTTATCTTTCATTTTCAGAGATCACTATTTAATTTGTGTTTGACTTGTTTGTTTGTTTTTTCACAAAGTTCCAATCACCAATTAATATCTACTTATAGTTTTGAAGTAGATTGTAGATGAATTCTAACTACAATTTATATCTCTCAAAGTATATATATAAAAGGCATAAATATTAAGTACAATAAGATTGTTTTCCATTGTTTCTTGTAGAGTCAACCACTAAGCATATGCCAAGCAAAAGTGGTGGATCAAGCATAGGATGGAATAAGATGGAGAAGAGATCCAAGTACCTATCTCTCTACTCCTTGTACCTTTTATATTTTGGTCATTATTATAGGCTATCACAACCTCAATGCCATGGAATCCAATATTAATTTATAATTTTTTATGAAGCATATCTAATTTTGCTCTATCGAGTTTCTGCTTTTAAAAATATATAACTTATTAAATCAACTAAATAGTTGTTTTAGAACAAAATAATATTAAAATATTAGGAGAATACAAAAATAAAATCTTGGGATAAAAAAATATTTTAAATAAAATGATAGTATTGATTTTACCAAAAATATATTTATTAGATAGTTATAAGGACTTTCAATTCTAAAATCGGATTTAAATTTAGGAGCCTTGTGAATTGTAGATCTTGATTAGGTTCATGGGATCTCAATGGTGGAGATGTAGCAATCATTCTTAAAACCTCAAACACTTATGTAAAAGGGTTGGATGGCAAAGCCTTCTTTTTTCCTCTTCTTTTTATTAATAAGCAAAGCCATGCCAATTTTTCTTTAGATTTTATAAGAGACTTGGTTATTTCAATTTTTCCTCTTTTAATTTTTAGAATTAGTTTTTGAAATTTTAGGTGGAAATAGTATATATATATTATAATTCTCCAGACACAAAAATCTTAGAATTTGAAGTTTGTGTGGAAAAGAAACCTCTAATTTAATGAAAGATGTTATTTTGCCTTTATAGTTTGATAGCTCTATTTTGGAAGTTTCTTCTTTATTATTCACAAGCTATAAAGCAACAAGAATTATTTTGCTAGAAATTTAATAAAGTTTAATTTCTAATAAATTAAGAATCAATCATATTGAAGCCAAAATGTAGTAGGAATGTTGATTCTTATAGCAAAGGACTTACTACCTCTGAGTTTAAGCAATATAGTGAAGATACAATTTTGGAAGATAAAATCAAGAAGATTGAAATATCTTAAGAGCTCAAATTTTAAAAGAATGTACCATTTGGAGTTAAAATTTCAATAAGCTTAGATTTCCTAAAAGACAATCAAGGACCAAGCTGTGGCGCTTAATTTTGTAGAAGGGAAACTATTGCCTTGCGAAATTGAAGTATCAACTTTGAGGGGTGATATTAGAGTCACTCAATTAAATTTGAAGGCAACATTTAGAAGGTAGATATATCTTCAAGGCTTTTCTCTAATAAAATTAGTTGGATTTAGTTTAAAACTTACAATCAATCATGATATGTTCAATTATAAAGGTAGATGCAGCAATCAATTTAGAAATGCAAATCACCTTTGATTCTTACTTAGACAATATTGTAAGTCTATTAGTTAGCTATTATAGATGAATCATTTGGATGGAATTTGATAATAAGATTGAACTCCATTAGATGAAATATCATATATAATAAAATTACATCAAGTTAGATAAATTTTAGTGAATAGAAATTTATTTTAAATAGATGAATTTTTATTTATGGATAAAAATTTATTCTTAGATGAAAATTTATTTGCAAATAAAAATTTATTTTTGGATGAAGTTTTTTATTTGGATGATAATTAATACTAGAAAAATAAAAATAAAAATCATATAAATTTTTTCTTCAAGTGTGTGGTCTTTTGAATTATTTGAATAGTTATATTGTAGTGTTGTGAATGTAAAAGTATGCCCTTTGATCAATTGGGAAGTTTAGTGATTTTTGAAAAAGAAATAAGAGGTTTTTTTAGCTAATTAATTCACAAGTAAGTAGTAATTGTGAATTAGAAAAAACTTCCCACTAGAATGATTTATCTAATTCATAATTGAAGAATTATTAGAAGTACTAAAGATAAATCAAATACTAAAAGTATTTTGTTAGAAGACTTTAGACAATTAAAATTCTTATGAACTAAATTAGATTTCCAATTAGCGGGAGTTTATTTTAGTTCACATGTGATAAAGTTGTTATGATAAAGTTGTTATAATATTCTTCATGGTATTTAATTTTGTAGGGTCATTGAGAACTTGCACGTTTTGTGACATAATGGTGATTTTCATTTGATGGATGGTGAGAATGTGGTGTCGATTTGTTCGATGGGCGGGGTGCTCATGTTGAAATGAAGCATGCCGCAGTGTCAATTAAGTCATTTGGCTTTGTGGTTCTTCGAGGCTTCTATGAGCTAATTTTGTCTGACTACCATTTAAGAAGAGAGACGTGGTGGCAATTATGATCAGGCCAAGTCATTTTGTATCTCCTATCCTTTTAGACATTCATGAAATATAGGAAGTAAGTGGGCCGAGATTCTGCAGTTCGCTCGTTTCTAGGTTCTATTGAATAACAAGTGGATTGTCCCATCTAGGCTATGTTTGGCTTCAAAACGTATTGCGTTTGCTGTCACAAATGTACCCAGCATTGCCATGGTTAATGCAAGCTCCAGGACAGAGCGGAAACCATTACAAGTGTTGAGGTCAATGTTCGTTCGGAGAGTTGCGTCATTTAGCATTGTTCAGCCATGGTGTTAGGCATTCCATCGCACCCTTCCACTGTTGTCACTTCCTGTGAGTTTGGTACTCTGTTTCCACCTGCGCGCCCTCCGGAGCTACGGTGAGGTCCGTAATGTGCCGTCTGCGGTGACCTCTGATCCTGTCTGCTGGTCCATATGTTGCATGCCATTACAAACTCATTCACCTCCGTGAATTTGTTGGTATTTGAGGAGGAGGCCCATCCTCGATCTTTCTCCCTCGTGAGCCACATTGTTGCGTTTAGTCCTCTTTGTCGTGGGTTGCTTGGGTCGACCCGATCATTGTGATGTCTTGGCCGTGCACTATTTCCTCTATCATTAGTATCTGCAAGTCTCCCGATCCAGCTAAGGATCATGTCCCTTGTGCAAAGATGCCCATGTTTTATTGGGGGAGGTTAGGTGGGAGGAGTGTATAATTCCATCCGATTCCCCGGCTGCAATTCTGGTGCGGTGGTTCTCTACGGAGGTGTTAAGATTTGCGGTGATGCTTGTGTATCATTTCTTGCCTCCATTACTCTCTTGCGATTGCCAGGCAGAGCTGGACATTTGCGAAGGAGGTGAATAGTGGCGAGGCAGTATCGGCAACGGATGGGCAAATTATTATAGTCCACTTGAATGTGAAGGACAACTTCCATGGCCAGATTTTTGACCTAAATAGCAAGGTCATATGTTGTGCCAGTGGTGAACGCCACGCAAAAATTTTGGTCGGCATTGCTTCCATTCTGCCTGTCTCTACACAGCACGAGATCGAGGCACATTGCGATATCTTGTGCACTACTCAGATACTTGTCCGGAACCAATTTTAAAGTAACTCATGTAGGCATTTGCGTGCCGACTAGTGTAAATTGTAGTCTGTCATTCGTATGTGCATTCAATGGAACAAGCTGTCAATTGACGACAATGGACAGCTTGTTCCATTGAATACGAATGATAGACTACAATTTACGTCTGCTCATGACGACAATTGACAGCTTGTTCCATTGAATACACATACCTGCCTACTTACAGATACGAATGATAGACTACAACTTGTGGGCTAATCAATACCTTAAAATACTTCTCCCACCACTACGTGCACTTGGTTGTTTACTTGAGTACTTGACCAAGTTTAGCAAAGTAACGAAGTACTTAAAATATTTTTGTACAATATTAAAAATAAATTGATAAATAATGTGAAAATATTATCAAATGATTTGTTTTCACTTTATGTTCATAGATCTTTGAGTAACCTTTTCTTGTATGTTTTCTTTTTTCATTTTTCAACTGGTGTATACAGTACTTTAACTGTACCGAGAAAAATAATATCCAATAACTCATCCAAATAATTATGTTTTATTTTATCAAAGTTCAAATTAATTAAAAATAATTAAAAAGTGATTTTTAATAAGTTCAACAATAAGTTACATCTATGCAAATCAACACACGTGCATTGCCACTGTAGTAAGTCAAGTGACTCAAATAACACTTTTGGAAGCTACCAATCCAGATGCAATAATACTACGACAAAAGTCATCTGAATCATCAAAGTATGATGAATGTGCCACTAAATTAATCCTGAATCAAACACTTTAAAGAACTATTTTGTTCTTTTTTATAGTGAACTTGAACTTCTAACACTGATTGCCATGAAATACAACTTTTTCATCACTCTCGAGATCGATTTGAAGATCGTGGACAAAAGCTACAAAACATACACAAAACAGAAGAAAACGCTTCCTTCCTTGCTTGTGCGAGTTGTGGCTCCAAGTGAGATCGACGTTGTGATATGCGGTGCTCGGAGTCGGATTCCATGGGGAGAATCAGTTCACTTGCATGCTGGAAGCGGTTTTCCGCAGAGCCCAGGGTTTCCAGGTTGGAAGACGCGGACGCGCAGATTACTCAAGGGTCTTGGAATTGGACCTAGAGGATACAAAACACCGGAACTTAGACACTATTTGTGGGCCACTGGGCACAGTTTGGTGATAACTGATGATCTGGAACAAGTTTTGAGCTGTGGGTGGCAACTATGAATCAAGGAGTTGGGGTTGAAGGCATTTGAATACAGTTTTTGAACCATTGTGAAGGAAGGTTTACTTTCTAGATTTTTTCTTTTTTCTCTTGTGGTGGAATTGGAGGTTTTGTTGATTACCTGTCAACTGGTTTCCACTGAAGTCGGTAGACAGTTCATCCTCCTCGAAGGGGCCGTAGTTTGCTGGTATCGCACCAGAGAATTTGTTATTGCCGATGTCGAACTCCTTGAGCATTGGCAAGTCGCCGATTTGTGGCGGCAGAGTGCCAGCCATCCGGTTCCTTTTCACGGAAATCCGTTGCAGGTTTCTCAGTTTTGCGAGCTCCACTGGAAGACTCCCCGTGATCTGGTTGTCGAAGAGCACGAGCTCCGTCAGCGTAGCGCAGTTGCCAATCTTGGGAGGGATGGGCCCGGACACCTTCGTGTCGAAGATGATGATACGTTTCAGCCCTCGGATTGAACACAGCTCGCCTGGGATGGGGCCTGTGAAGCCATTCTGTCCGAGCTGGATGTAGTCGGAGAGGGTGAGCTTGCCCAACCACTGAGGAATGGGCCCGGAGAGCAAATTGCCCGTCAGGTCAAACGATTGCAGCTTCTTTAACAAGGTTATGCGTTCTGAGCCGATTGTTTTCAGCCCGTTGTTGGGAAGCTGTATAGATGTCAGCTCCTTCAAATTGCCGAAAGAGTCCTGTTCACGAAGGCGATCATCCCACACGTGTTACTCACGATTCTCCTTCCCCCCTCCCCCCTTCTCACACCCAAGCACAGAGTTTTGGAAAAGAGCACTTCACATCGTCTTACCGGAATTCCACTGGAGAAACGATTGCCCTCGAGAATTAAGTGGTTCAACCTCGTAAGCCTACCAAGGTCTGTGGGGATCGCCCCTACAAACTGCGTCCCGATGAGATGAAGCGAAACCAAAGCCGGTAGTCCTCCAAGCTGGGCAGGAATGGGATGCACGAATCCAAACCGCACATTGCGAAACTCCAGCTCTCGCAACGCCTTCAAGTCGCCCAGCGACGAGCCAGCTCCTTTGACACCAGGCTTAATCTTCAGCTTCGTGTCGGGACTAGCGTTCGGAAATGCAAATACGTCCAGAAGGTTCAGTACTGTAACTCGTCCCCTTGAATCGCAAGTGATTCCCTGGATCCAATTTTCCCCAACAGATGTGTCACTGACCAACCACATTCAACGTAGCACATGATTGGCACAAATCGAGTCATGCGAAGGTGCGTTCCTTTAACAATGATCTTACCGGCCATGTGCAACAGTTAGTGGTCGACTTCCAAGGATCCAGAACCTTGGCATTGTCAACCAACTGGTCCTTGAATCTGAGCAGGGCACTCTTATCACCAGCATTGCAAATTGCCGCTGCGGAACTGACCTTGAAATTGAGAGTGAAGCAAATCGCCACCTGAAGAACCACCTGGGTTAAGGTCGGCGAGGTACCCATTGTCTTGAATGCGCAAATCTTCCTCTGAACAAGCAAATCGCACTGATCACATTGGTCGTTTGTGAGACAACCGGCTTAATGGTGCTGTTTTTGTATTGCACTGGGGTAGTAGACTCGTGGACTCTACGCGAGATACTGACTTGCGCAGCGTAGAAATGTCAAGTTCTAAGTTAAGCTTTGTAACAAACCTCCGAAGATTGACTTTGCTGGAAGTGAGTTGGCAGCTGACTTTTGCGGCAACCTGGGACAGAAGCTCGACTGTCTCTCTGGTTCAAAAACAATCAACTTGTGTGGCCCCACTTTGGCTTTAAAAACATAAACGGAATGAGGAGGAAACCCTGAAGGGTCCCACATTTATCAGGGCTGGTTGCGATGCAAAATCTTATCCTATGCTTTCTATGTTTGACTGAAAACTAGTTGACCATTCCGCTGCCCCATCGGACACACTCGACATGGAGGGACTTCAGCCGAAACGATGATCGCTCCCCCGAGCCATCCATGAACCACCGCAGCCTATCACCTCACTCTGGATTGTGAGATGCGGCATGAACAAACGCTTCTCACTCGTGGCTATTCTAGTCAACAAATACCATCCTGTTGCGATGAAGCATTGCTCTGGAAAATACAACAAGGGCACACTGAGACCTTCGTTTGTTGCCGATACAGCATGAATCAGTGTTTTGAATGCAATTACTTCACAAGTCCAATGTAGATCTGGATGGTGTCTCAAACTCGTTTAGTCTCAACATGTATTCTTGGTGTGTTTGCAACTCAGAGATGGTGTGTTTGCAAATCAATCTGGTTCCTTCAGACCGCCACTGATAAGTTTAGGGCTCCAAGCTGGGAAGTGAAATGAGCCCAATGATCTTGAAGCATGAAGGTGGACTGGTGAGGGGAGTAGCAATGGACGAGATTGATGAGAGTTGATTTACTTGCACGAACTCACAAACTCACAAACTATGTTGGATTGCTAGTAAAAAAATCTGATTAATTGGACCTAGCTTGATGAAGAGACGGTATAGCAGGAAACTTATAGATAAAATGCAGGTTTTGAGATTAATGGTTGTATGGAAGTGAGTTAATTGTTCGAGGAGTGATTTATTGGCTTTCTTTGATCGTTTCAAAGATTAAGGCGTCTTATTCTTAGATGACAAAAATATCAAAGTAAAGGAGAATTCTTATATTAACACCATGTTGTAATCTATTTGGAATGTGTATTTTCTAACATTAATTATTTTGCTTTGGTCTAAATTTTTTTAAGTTTTAGTTATTTTTTGATGGATATTTTTTGCATATTATTGTAGAAGTATTTAATGATTTTATGGCAAATCATAAATTTTTTTGGCACTTTCATTAAATAATATAAAAATGATACAAAAATAAAAATAAAAACAGTAAATTCTTTTTTGTTGATATTATTAGAACATTGACTTATATTTGATGTATTTCTAAATTACAAAAGAACTAAATTCCTACCATTTTTTGTAATTGTATATTTTCTATAAAAACCATATAAAAAATGTATTAATATTCTTTTTATTCTACCAATAATTATGATTTTATAATATATATATATATATATATATATTTGTCTTGCAAATAATTCAATTGATGTGCTATTATTTATTCAATTTTTTTTTATATTATTACCTAAGTCATTAATATTTTTTTCATAAAAAATAATTATTTTGATATTGTAAAAGAGGTTGTAGAAGACACTAATTAGAAATAAAGATTAATAAAAATTAAAGAGTGGTTGGATATTTAATGGTCTTATGTGAATATAAAAAATGAGAAAAAACAAAAAAAAATAAAATTATATATCATAGAAAATTATAAATGTATTTAATTTGATTATAAAAGTATATTTTTTTAATTAGATATTATCTTAAATAAGAACTTACATATTTTTGATAATATTTATAAAGCTTTTTTTATCAAAAGAAATACAAAAATATAAAAATATAAATTATAAACTTAATACAAAATCATCTCAAAATAAAGGTATTTTATTAAAATCTAATAAAAGATATAAGAACTTATAATTATCTTAAATTAACTACTAAAGCAATTAAAATCCTAAAAGACTATTAATTAAATATTCTTAATATTTATATAAATTATATTTTAAAAATGTTATACTTACTTTCTCTAGATTGTTATATACAACACATTAAGTACTATCAACTAATCAGAAAGCATGTAATTTGAACTAAATACAAATGCACATCTAACACACTCTCATGTACTCCTTCTAATTGATTAGGAGCTCTTTCAGTCAATTAGGATTACAAATACACATTATTGAAGATAAACTCCACTATGATGTGAATGCCAAATTATACTCCTCCAAACTAATGTTGAAGCAATTAAACCACCAAAGTCTATGACACACTTAATAGAAGAAATTTTCAATCTTTATGATAAAATAAAGCATGGTTAGAAGACTTATTACAACAAGGACAAATCCAATCTCCTAATGGGAGAATTAAAAGAAGTGTTATCAAACATATCATATTTAGTATCCTTGATCCATTAAGACTTTAGCAAGTGTTCTAAAATGTACCAATATTTTATCAAGAAAAGCCATAGTTGCCAATTTTGAAGAGTTTTGTATTAAAGTTACAAGTTCAATCTACTTCTTAAAATATTCTACTATCACTATTATGTATTTAGCTCCTTATGAGATAAAAAATGGCTTCTATATCATATACCAAAGAAAATAGGATTGCTTGGATCATCACCTTGGATGTTGTCCTATAAGCTTATAAGGCAACAAGAAGTTTCTTGTCTCAATCTTCTTTTGATGTTCTTGTTCTATAATTGTTTATAATATGTAAAAGTTAGCTAAAATATATAACATATTTATAAATCTTGATGTGCATTAAAGTAGTTATTAGATTAATTTAAAGAGAGTTGATGTAAGAAAGTTTATTTTAAATTTTATCCATATTGATTATAGTATTCAAATAATATAGAATTTAGATATTTAATATAAAATTTAAGAAGAATATTGGAGCTTAAAGATGAAGCTCCAAACTTCTAAGAAACTTATTTAGAAGGATAAAATCAAGATATGGATGGATGAAGACAAAAGGTGAAGATCTTCATTTCTATTGGTTAAAAGCCATACCTAATAGGCTCTCAAGAGGTTGTCCACAACCATAATAAGGATTTTGGCAACTTGAAAAGAAATATTTGAAAATAAAAAATATGGATTGTAAGGTTTAGAATTTGAGTTATAATTTGTATATAAATTTTAGAGGATTTGAAATTAAGATAATGAAGTTATAGCCATTTGAAATTAAATTATTATTTTAAGATATATTGTAGCTCTTTCGAAGATATATGGAATTTTACAATAGATTTTGGAAATCAAGAGGTGCGGCCATAAGGGTGATTTTAAGATCGATATGTTTTAAAAAAGAATTTTTGTATTTGGAGTTTGTATGAAAGAGTTATACAATATTAAAGAAAATATATGTAATTCAAAGGCAATAATGAGTCGTTTTATTGATAATAATGGTTGGAACCATATCTTGAATTTTAGAATGAAATTTTGGCACAAACTTTCCAAAAGTATATATTATTAGATTAAAAAGCTATATATCAAAATTTTATGGTATTTGAATATTTAATTTATGAGATATGAAGAAAATCACACACAAGTATATGTAAGTAAGAGCTTGAAGCTACTGTTAGAAATTTCACTTTGATTAATATACTTCCATACTCAAAAAAATAGTGATAATTTTTTTTGAGTATATTAATCAAAGTTTGGTTGATTCGTAGTCAAGATAGAGAAAATTTTCCTTGAAAAAGAGTTAGACTTTTGGTTGTCATTAATTACCTAACCAAGTCTCAAGATAAAAAAAAATACCAAGTTTATATATAAAATTGTCCCTAAAACTGCAATTACATCAATACTTAAGCCCTAAGTACCAAAGATCATAAAAAATGTGATAAAAATAATATAAAACCTTACATATCCTTAAGGTGAAATTTTTCTTAAACTTCAATAGCTCATATCTTATGATTACACTGTTCAAAGAAACCAAAATTTTACATAAAGTATTGATGTGCTTCTAGCAACTACCACAACAAATTTCAATTACAAATATGTTATGGATCTTGAGATATTATCAAAATCCTAATAATAACTTCAAACCTTTGCTTCGATATACTTATGTACAATTTTCTTTATATCTCACAAACTAAATATTTAAATACCATAAAATTTTGATATATGGCTTTTTAATCTAATAACACACACTATTAGAAATTTTGAATAAAAAATTCATTCCAAACTCAAGATATAGCTCTAACCATTACTATCAACAAAATGACTCACTTACTGCCTTTGAATTACATGTGCTATCTTTAATGTTATATAACTCTTTCATACAAACTCTAAATGCAGAAATTCTTTTTTAAAATGTATAGGTCTCAAAATTATGCTTGCGGCCATGCTTTTCAATTTCCAAAATCTATTGTAAAACTCCTTAAATTTTCAAAGGAGCAATAGTATGTCTTAAAAAGACACGTTAACTTCAAATGGCTATGACTTCATTATCTTAATTCCAAACCTTGTAAAATTTGTACAAAAATTGTAGCTCAAATTTAAGATCTTACAAATCTTACTTTTGATTCTCAAATGTTCTTTTTGAAGTCACCGAAATCCTCATTATGGTTGCAAATAGCTCCTTAAGAGCCTATTAAGCATGGCTTTTCACCAATAGAAATGAAGATCTAAATTCCTTACCTTCATCCATTCATACCTTGTTTTCATCCCTTCAAATAAGTTTCTTAGTGGTTTTAATCTTTATCTTTGAGTTCCAATCTTTTCTTTAAATTTTATAGTAAATATCTAAATTCTATATAATTTAAACACTATAATCAAAATAGGTAAATCTTAAAATAATTTTTTTACATAAAATCTCTTTAAATTAATTTATTAAATATTTTAATTCACATCAATATTAATAAATATATTATATATTTTATTTAATTTTGATTTTTCTTTACAAACTCTAATCCTAGTCAATGAATTTCACTAAGTTATAACTCCTAATTTGACCATCTAATTGATGTAAAATTTTGCATATAAATGCCTCTATAAGTCTTTTATATGTTCAAAA